CCTCCCTCCAACTTCTCCTCCTCCTCCTCCCACCTTATCCTCCTCCTCCTCTCTCCTCCCTATTCTCCTCCCTCCTCCCTCCTCATCCTCCATACGACACCGACAGAGAGAGGGAGAAGAGAGAGAGAGAGAGAAGAGGGACAGAGAGACAGACACGAGGACAGAGAGAGAGCGAAACCAAGCCAGAGAAAGATAAAGAGAGAAAAAGTGTAAGAGAGAGAGAAAGAGAAAGAGGCGTTCACAATTTTAACTGTTCGTTTCTCCAAACACGACAAACGAGCTGACAGAAACGACAGATGTCATCCGATATGAGCGAGATCCCGTTTTCAGAGGGAATATTAAAATAAAAATAAAAATAAAAAAAAGATCCCGGCTACGGAAGGGATTGGTCATTTCTGACCGTCGATCACGCAGATCAACCACCAAAGCCGAAGACGAGGTTGCCCACCGGAGAGAGAGAGAGAGAGAGAGAGAGAGAGAGGGAGAGAGACCTCTTGGTCACAGCGATTGATTTCCGACCGTTAAAAATGAGGGGGTGGGAAAAGAAAAAAAAAAGAAAAAAGAAAAAAGAGAGAGGCTTCTCGTGTACAGGATGGAAAAGAGAGAGAGAGAGAGAGAGAGAGAGAGAGAGAGAGAGAGAGAGAGAGTTCTTCTTCTTCCTCTTATAAGTCCACCATCTCTCCCTCACCCTCTCGCGACCTAACTTCTCAGTATCTGCAGACTACGAGAGAGAGAGAGATTGGTGACTTTGGGACTTGACGACATTTGGATCCAGACTCCACATTGGGATTGAGACCTTCGACGAGGGATTGTTTGGGACCTGTACCGAAGACTTGGTGTTGACGACATTCCCATCTTCCCCTCTTCTTCGTCTGTGTATGGTTGGGGACTGGCACATTCTTCCTGTGTGAGCGCCAGGCCCCTTCACACCATGGAATGATGATGGTGTATGTTTGGTCTGCATTGCAACATTGATTGTTCAGATCATTGGTATATTAGCCTTCCATTGTGCTATCTTGTACTATGTGAGAGAGGTCGGTTCTTGTTCTGGTCTGCACTTTTACAGTATGCGACACTTGACCCCACTACATCGGTATGATTTTACATTTCCGCATGAAAATGCGTGGGTGTGCCAGCATGCTCTCTCTCTCTCTCTCTCTCTCTCTCTCTCTCTCTCTCTCTCTC